TTGGTAAGATATTATTCATATCAAAGCCTTAACTGTTACAGTCACGTTCACATGCTACTGAAGACCAATATGCTTTGAACCCTCTACAATAGCAGACAGAGATCATAGTCTATCAAATAAAAGTCGCAGGCACAGAAAGTGTAATTCTGCCAAATCCGTCCAGCTGCCTGAAAATCCTGATCCTATAAGTGAAAACAGAGACTAGAGGCTGTGACACAACATTTGGATGATGATAGAGCTGTATTTTTTTTATGTGTGTCAGACTTTCATTTAACAGTTCGACAAAACACAGACGACATCCATCTAAACTTCATATATAAACCAGACTTCTTTAATCAAGCGTGTGGTTGACTGACACCATGTTGCACAAGACCAATTACAGGCTAGTGCGGCCAGGTCCAGCAGTCAACACTATAGACAAGCATATATGCTCCCTTCTACTGGGAACTCGGAAGTCGTAAATCTTTTCGCTGCAGTTCAACTCAAAGGGCAATTTTTCATTGTGGAGGGTTCACAGAGGTCTAAACGTGGGTGGACATTGAAAACTCACAGGAGGTGATCGTTCCCCCCGCAGGCATTTGAGAAGAGACAACATCGAGAGTCGTGAAGCAGAATGTGCAGATTTAAACGCTTACTTTCTAGGCTACAGATTGCGGTGATGTCATGCCGCAAACGACAGAGGTTTCCTGTGCCGTTCACTCCCTTTCTGTCTACATAAAGCCATGCATTTTCTTCCCCTCTGCATCTTCCCCTGTGTTTAGGATAGCATGCGTCATCTAGATACCAGCAACTGTTAATGACTGCAGCTTAATTACTGTGTGCAAAGGTACACAAAACCTCAAATCAGGGGCAATTAAGAGACCCATTTAGATTTTAATCTGCAGTGCACCTTAAATTTGGAAATTTACAGCCGGATTTCTCATGTCAGTTGTTTAAACGACAGCATATGCTACTTGGTAGAGTCAACAAGGTCAAAACATGACATTCTCAGTGCAAGTTCTTGGTCAATAGTGAAGTAACCAATGGAAGTTATATGTTCATATGCTTTCCTAATGGATGATATCTTAAAACCTTTTGTTTTTTTTAGCATATCCTGTCCAATTATCAAACGCTGTGACTCCTTTAATCCATCCAGTTCTGAATGATGAAGTTCCACACAACAATTGTCATTTTTACTCTCAAGATAGTTGCTGATTTAATCTTGATTTCTGAATCTAAAAATAAAATTATGTCGACTTTGTTGTCTTCAAAGACACCTGATCTGTGCCAATTGTCCATGATGAATTACGTAATTACGTAAGACATTCATAAAAGTTTAGAACCAATTGAGTGTGAGTAAATAATGAAGACATTGTCATTTTTGCTGCATTCAAGCTGCATTTCCAGCCTGATTTTACAAGGGAAACGTAAGTATTTTACGTTTTGTCAGTTAAATGGCGAATTCGTATCAGTTCAGTTGTATGATTTTTAAAAAGGAGATGTGGCACCAAACCCCATCCCTAAACCCAACCATCATTGGGGAATCAGGCTGGGGAAAAGAAACATATATTTTCTCAGTGACAAGAAAAAAAGAAACTGTTTTGTCTGAAAGGGACTTATTGACTATAAAGGCTTATTGACTACTCCTGAAACCCCTGTCGTAAAACAGAAGATTGTCTCTATGAAAACAGCACTTTAGTAGTGTTATACTAAATGCCAGATGTTAAAACCGTCACTCTTAGAGGTGATAGCTTATACACATAGACACTAAATTCACACCTTTGCTCTCTGTTTGTGTGAAATGGCAGTCGTAATATTCAAGTGTAACATATGGCTGAACTTTAAGTGGTTTTACTTTTAAAATGTACACTACCTGACAAAAGTCTTGTCACGGATCCCAGTTGTAAGAGCTCCAAATAATACTTGACTTCTAGTTGATCATTTAGTAAAGTAGCAGAAGGTCAATTTTTCTGATGAATCATCTGTTGAGCTGCATCCCAATCATCACAAATACTGCAGAAGATCTATCGGAACCTGCATGGACCCAAGATTCTTACAGAAATCAGTCAAGTTTGGTGAAGGAAAAATTATGGTTTGGGGTTACATTCAGTATGGAGGCGTGCAAAAGATCTGCTAAGTGGATAGCAACATCAACAGCCTAAAATATCAAGACATTTGTGCTGCCCAATACATTACAAACCACAGGAGAAGAACAATTCTCCAGCAGGATAGCGCTCCTTCTCATATTTCAGCCTCCATATAAAAGTTCCTGAAAGCAAAGAAGGTCAAGATGCTCCAGGATTGGCCAGCCCAGTCACCAGTTATGAACATTATTAAGCATGTCTGGGGTTAGTTGGAGGAGGAGGCACTGAAGATGAATCCAAAGAATCTTGATGAACTCTAGGAGTCCTGCAAGATTGCTATCTTTGCCATTACAGATGACTTTATCAATAAGTTATTTTAGTCATTACAGAGATGTATGGATGCAGTCCTCCAAGCTCATGGGAGTCATACACAATATTCATTATTTTTCCACTGCAGCATGACTTTATATTCTGTACTGGACATTATTTCTGTTAAGTGACAAGACTTTTGTCTAAGCAAAGTCAGACCTTACTGTCCTAATTCAACAATTAAAAAAATCAAGGCATGATTATGTTTTATTTTGGTAAAACAAGCATAATGTAGAGGCCTTTCCCTTTCATATAAGCCACTTCTGATACCAAATGATCAACTAGAAGTCAAGTTATTATATGCTGTTCCTAAAATTTCAATAGGCAACAAGACTTGTCAGGTAGTGTAGATTTTTAGATTCTACAAAGACACTTCTTAGATGGGTATGTTATTTTGTTAAGTTTGCAATGAACTTCAGTGAACTTTCAGTTTTTTTTTTTATTATGTTTCCAATCAGATTGTCCAGTGCACTAAGAGCTGTTTATAATATATATATATTTCAAGGCAATAAACTGCACCCTTAAGCATGCATCACTTTGCTCCAGCACTGGGTTGACTGATGGATTATGCTTATCGCCATGTATACACACAATACAAATGCTCTAGCTCTAGAACTGTCAAGAATAAAGATTACTGCGGTCATCTTGCACGGCAATGGTAAACTCCAAAATGAATGAAAAACAGAGGGTCATATTTTTCCCTCTGACTAGGCTTGATGACACTCAAGCAACTTTATATTCCTGTACAGTAACAAAAAAAGCCCAGGCAACTGTTCACACAACACGGAGGCGTTTTAATGATCTAAACACGTTTTAGGCTGTAAATGTTTTACCATCAAAAACAAATTACTGTACAGCCTAATGGAATCCAGATAGTAATTATGCTTCAAAGTTTTGCTCAACTCATTATTGTGCTACACTGTTCGCAGTTTTATAATCCTCCAGGAAAACACTGCAATAGACAACTGAACTGTCAGATTTGTAGATTGAACAGCTTGGTGTTATTTATCACACATACACATTCCTTCACAACATGACTGTGTGAAGAAAAAGGTCTACCTGACAATTCTCATGTCCCAACAAGAAGGAGGGGGGCAGGGGGTACTGTACAGGACACTTGGCTATCTACTGGTCAACTTCTGTATTACACGTGCAAGAAATGAAATAAATAAAACATTAATAATTAATAATCGAAGAAGAAGAAAATAATAACTAATAAATAAATAAATAAATAAATACAAACTGTAAATACCAAGGTTGCTTAGCTTATCATTCTACCTCTGATGTACATAGGTCCAAGAATGGCAGCTTGATGCCATTAGTTTATTTTTATTAATCATTTATAATAATAATACTTATGATTTTATTATTATTATTATTATTAGTAGTAGTAGTAGTAGTAGTAGTAGTATATTAAACTCAGCATACTGGCTATTAAATTACATGACAAATGAACACTTTTGTAGCAATTTTAAACTTTTTTTCCACTAGTGTTATTTTAAGCATTAAAGTAGACACTAAACTTGCACTTAGTTTGTTTTCTATGTATAAAAAAGTCGCTTTTGATGATTAATTAATTGGATGCAGACATCAAATAAAAAAATTGGTATCAAAACAGTAGGCTACAGAACATTTCAAACACTACACTGGGATATTTGTCACATGTATTGAGTATATTTATTGATCTCCAAGGGTTACATTTATACGGTAATATAATGATTGTAAGAATAAAACTATTATGAAGTATGTTAGCTGTTTTACAACGACACGCGACATTACAAAAATGGCTCTGGATGTAGAGTTCAATTGTTTCCTAAAACATTTCCCAGCAAAAAATCCATAATTCACTCACAAAAGGGTCCCACTTTATATTAAGTGGCCTTATAAATATAAATACATATACAAATAATAGAAATACAATGTACTTGATATGTTAAGAATGTATTGCAGAACACTTCTAGTGCTCTTGAGGTGGGATACGGGTAGGTTTAAGGGTGGGTTATAGGGTGTGAGCGATGGTCAGCAGTGTAATTATAGAAATTAATTACAGATAAGTACATGTATTTAGACAATAAGTACATTGTTAAGAATGATTAGTTTCAGTTTAAGCCACTTACTACAAACGTAGGACCCACAAATGTCCTAAAATATCCCTCGTGACAAATTCCCAAAGTGACTTTCTCCCATAAGCATGCAATAGAAAGAAACTTTTTTTTAATTAATTTGCACAAACATACATGTGATGAGTTTTATTTTACATTTTTAGGTTATTAAAATGTAACGCACACCTTATGGATCGTTTAATGACTCGAAAACGGCCAATAATATTGATTATATTAAGGTTTTCACAGACTAAGTCATTCAAACATAGCCTACATTTGAGGAATTTTCCTTTTATATATTTTAGGTTATCAATACAGTATGGATCGTTTAATGACTCGCAAATGGCTATCATTAATAATTAAGTATCCCCACATTCGACTTGCTCAGAGAGAAATAATAATGACGCTCGCGTTCTTGTTGCGTCGCCTCGCGTCTATGACAGAAGAGCGCGTAACGGAATCCTACCTGTTGGAATATCCTTATTTGTCTCCATGCCCAAGGTACAATGAACACAAGTCACCAGCATCAAAACGAACGCGTGAAAACCCCGACGCCGCTCCATCGTCGCCTCAGTGAAAGTCCTCAGAGACTGGAGTTTATAAAGTTCTGCGACTGGTCAGCGAGCGGAGAGTCCGAAAATCCCCGAGGTCAGCAATAAAACATTTCTCGCAGATCACCTGAATGAAGTCATTTCTGCTGGAGATTAGACTGAAAAAGACGTGTTGATTAGTCCCTCAAGAACGGGCTGACTGTGATGGTGCCCTCGGTGTTCCCCGGACAGGGTGACAGGAGCGTATGATTGAACAAGTACAGCTGTGTTTGAGCTCCCCTCCTCCTGCTACAGTCCTCAAACACGAGCTCAAATAATGCCCCCTGCGCCGCCCTCATTTCATTACACCCAGACCAGCATGCTGCTTTCTCTGCACTGGGAGGAAAACGAGTTTTTGACCACACTGTAAAAAAAAAAAAACTTTACATTTACATTTTTATATAACATATTAAGTTAAACTTTGTATAATTTAATGCCCAAACTTTTTTATGAAGGGCCGAAAACCAAACTTGATTAAGGGGAGTGGGCTGAAGATATGTATCTGTATTACAAAGTTGCCAAGGATAAATTCCTCATTTATTTCAAAATAAAAAACATTAATCATTTTAAATAATGCATAGTATATATTTTTAGATTTTATAATGGCCCTATTATAATGAAAACATAATTCCATTTATAACACAATGGAATTTAATGCCGAATACATTAGCCAAGCTGCCTTTGCCTTGATTTGCTTACTGAGGACTTCTAAATTGTGCTCTATCCGCCGAGCAACAGTATGCTCATATAAAAAAAAAAATAAAAATAAAACATTTGGATTTAATTACAACATTTAATTAAAATATTTGCTTAATAATAAAATAAACCAGTGCAAAGTTTTTTTTATATATATTAGAAATGACAGTCAATGTATGTGTATTAAAGGCTTCCCAAAATTCTCCCTCTTTTCAAAGATGGAATAGTAGGCCAAATCAAAGGGCCCTAGTTTGGGCATCTCTGACTTAAAGCATTTAGCTGAAACCTTGATTAACTTTTTTTAATAAGTTAAAGCAACATAAAATATTTGTTGTCTTGACTTTTTTGTCTTCATTTTTTTTATAGTGAACTTTGAATTTAATTACAGATAAGGTTTAACCTCAACAAAAATGTAAAACAAAAAAAAGTTTAATAATTGTATTACTCACTCACTATTCTTAGGCTTAGTCCCTGATTTATCTGTGGTCTGCCTGATCTGATGCCCTTCCAGCTGCAACCCATCTCTGGGAAACATCCATACACACTCATTCACACACATACACTACGGACAATTTAGCCTACCCAATTCACCTGTACCATATGTCTTTAGACTTGTGGGGGAAACCAGAGCACCCGGAGGAAACCCACGCAAATGCAGGGAGAACATGCAAACTCCACACAGAAATGCCAACTGAGCCGAGGTTTGACCCAGCAACCTTCTTCCTGTGAGGCAACAGCACTACTGCGCCACTGCGTTGCCCAAAATGTATTATTATTATTAATAATAATAATAATATTTTTATTGTTATTATTATTATTATTATTATTATTATTATTATTATTATTATTATTATTATTATTATTATTATTATTATTAATAATAATAACACAATTTTTATTGTTATTATTATTGTTATTATTATATTATTATTATTATTATTATTTTATTATTATTATTTATTTTTATTTTTTATTATTATTATTATTATTTGTATTTATTTATTGTTATTATTAGTAGTAGTATTAGTATTATTATTTATTTGTATTTATTATTATTATTATTATTTATTTATTTAATTATTTTTTGGGGTTGGGGTTGTCATAGTAAAATCCCTGGTGAATGATTCAGGAATCATTTAGTACAGTGGTATTTGGATCTGAGACAGGCTATAAACTCAGCATTTTCATAACCGCAGGCAACCGTTCCTATCAGGAAATAGCATTAAAAGCGTAATGAACATGCTAAATAATGTTGTAACGGAGTCGTTAGCTCATTATTAAGCCTGAAAACTCTCAACTTGGAAAAACAATTGTGTTGAGGCTTGCCCACATACATTCACTGACCGCCTGATTACTGCTCTACTTATTAAAAAAAGCATACTTTTCCCTGCAGGCATATAAATTGAGCTCAGATTTACCCACAATGACACTGCAGTGCATAGAAAAGAAAGAGCACGTGTGCCAAAAGCTAAAAGCTATATGGGAGAGCTGGATCTTGACCACGCTAGTTATGCATTTTATTGTGGTCTCAAGCTTTCAGACATATGGTGTCGATGCACACAGTGTAATAATAATGAGGTAATCCGCTCCAAGTCCAACACTCTTATTAACCACTGATTGATGTCACTGAAGCCAGTGCGTTCCCATTCATCCCTTTCCCTTTTTACAAGATTCACTCATGCGTGCAGCATTGAGCAATACAAATATTCGAAACACAGGTTCATCAGAGGTTCACGACTCTCTGCGGGTCATTAAAACGTCTTGTCGCAGCCTTTTGTCATTACAGATGGAAAATGTTTTCAAGTGTGGAGATAAGTAATGGCAGGAATGATAAATAAATGCAGCTTCGTTTCAGTTCACCCACTGACACTTCACAGCTTTGTGAGATCGAGGGGTTTGTTTGGACGTGTCGGGGGGGAGGTAAATGTTTCTAAACGCTACCAAAGCCTGAACAGCTGAAATCACTTCTGTTTGATTCACGCTGGCTTTGATTCGCCACATCTGGCCTTGAGTATACAGTACATTGAGAGACAATATAGATGTTAGCATGTGTGTGTCAATTAAATGTGCTTGTTTTGTGGGTGGTCAAATGATATTGCTTTTACACTGTTATGAAATGTAAAGGTTTTAATTTAAAGAACTGAAACTAATGACGCTCATCTTGATTCACACAACCAAATCACTCTGGCAAAGTAGTGTAAGGGTAAATTAGAAATGTGAGGTTTTACTGTATTAGTTAAGTACATTTATATAGAAGTACAGTGCTCGGCATATATAAGTACACCCCTCACAAATCTATCTTTTAAATTCATATTTTTAATAGGAAGCTATATACTATTATTTGCGCATAGATTTGTCAGTATTGAAGCCAAATCTGGAGCTAATCTAAGAAAGTAACTTAAGATAACGATCCAAAAACTGGTACAGCCAAATTGATATGTTATAGAACATTTTTAAATATAATTTTTATAAATAAGAAAATAAATGGAAAATTTTGTTATATTTTGTTTGTTTTAATTTTATTATGTATTAATTTTTATTATGAATATTATTATTTTGCAATATTTAGCTTAGATTTTATTGTATTATTTGTAAATTTCTAAATATGTTTGGTGACTAACATATTATTTTCAATAAATATTTCTGTTTATTACATGTATTATATGTTTATTTATTATGTATAAAATACATTGCCTACATTCTCTGAGAAATAGAGAAAAATATTAATTTCAAAATCATTTTAATTTTCATTTTGACCTCTTATACTGTATATACATATATGTATTTTCTACATAATAATTAAACATATAATACATATAATAAATATTTATTGAAAATAATATTTTAGTCACCAAACATATTTAGAAATAATATATATATATATATATATATATATATATATATATATATATATATATATATATATATATATATATATATATATATATATTTGATAATATATTTAAATTCAAATAAGTTACTGCAAACAAGACAATTACAAAGTACAACATTTCAACTACATTTATTATATTTCATATATAAGATTATAAATTTACATATATTTTTATGTTTCTGTTGATTTTTTTTCCTATTTATTAAAATTGTATTTCATATTTTCTCCAACATGTTAATTTTGATGTATTATTTTTAGACTGTGAACTGAGTTTATTTTTGTTAGATTAGTTCCACATTTTACTTTGGTACTGAATAATAAAATGTATAAATAAAACAGATATTATTGTAAATATTTATGTAGAAAACATACATTTAAAAGAGAGATCTGTGAGGAGTAGATAGATCAAATGATCTTCAACTTGCTGTTATGAGACCAATTTAAGCGTGGACGTTTAGTTCTACTCACTGAAGGCAGGTTTTTGACTTTAATCTCCACTGTTCTAATTGACTTTTATGAAACAGGGTTAACAGGGTTATGGTGGACAAATGCCTTATTTTCACATCCATTTGTACATAGTATAGTTTAGAGTCTGCTCCAGACCAAATCTTTTTCTCATTTTTTTATTATTTTTTTTAGATTTTAATGGTCCACAAGACCCAAGAAAAGGGGAAACGGATTAATCTCAGTGTTTCTCATTTTAATTTCCTTGAAAGGCAAAGACATTATAGTTTGTGGAGACGTTGATGTCTGCAGGCAATAAAGGCGGTCACGAATCTCCATCTTTATTTCCATTCATCCAAAATGTCAAGTAGAGTGAGTTCTGATGTCGACGACAGGGTCAGATCCAATAAACGAATAAGGACTGAACATTTTAACAGACCTTGGAACCTTTTGTCTTAAATCACACAGTAATACAATCTAACAGCATTAGCCCACCTAGTTATTTCTTCCCCAAAGCGCAAGCTGAAAATAGATATACGCGTCTTTTTGCGGTATACTGCCAGGTCTGGTAAATAGTTTCTCCACTACAATGATGAGTAATATATTCTAGACGCCATGATCTCATGGACCTGATGAATCCTTAGCTGTAATTACTTCCAATAATAGCTTCTTTTTTTGTTTTAAATGTGACTTTGATCCCGCAAATTTGTGTTAATTACAAACTGGCAACGATAGGCCAGTGGCTCCTGATAGACCAGATGCTTTCAGTCTGACCACCTCATTACCACATCTTTACGCTGGTTGGAGTGAGGTTAAGACGGTAAATCCCGCACATCAGCCAAAATCACAAGGAGCAGTTGACCTCCGGGAAAACACATTTGTCATGCCGTGCTACAAGCATCCACTTCATTCATATTGGTGTATAGGAGGGGCGATCTATACGTCCACAACGGCGACATTTGCAAAACTCAAGACAGGCAGATGACAGTGTTGGTCGTGGACGTTTTAGAAAGACGGAATATAGCATCCAGTCTTTTGACCACACAAGCAGGAAACTTAAGTTGCGTCAAATGACTACTCTTGTGAAAAGAAAAATAATACTATGGGTGGCTGATTGTGTCTAATGTTCAC